AATGAATCGTCTATTTGAGAAACATCATAAGCCCAGTATATCAAATTTTTGGAAAATAAGTTGAACCTTTATGGTTGTTTTATACACAGCTATGAAAACGACATGTTTCCTTTATAATACTTTATCCAAAATTATTCAATACAATTCTTAGTCTATAACAATTTACTGGGATTCATTTAAACTTTATATATTTAATTGTTATTTCTTAAATGACTTCAAAAAAATCATTTTTACCATTAGATAAAACAAAAAATTAACTTTTGAATTCATATTTATTTATTTATAGTGAAAAAAGTATATTGTTAAAAACAAATTATTTATGTTGTTACTCAAATAACTAAATTAAATGCAAAAGAAACATCTTGATTTTTTTTTTATCACCTTATTTTCCATTTGGTCAGGTTTTAGAACAATATGAAAATGTAATTATGTAACCTACTTCAAATAACTAGGTAGGTAGAATTTATTTTTTTCATCTTTGTATCGAATACCCATAACTGGAACATCAACAGTTATTACAAGGGCCTTGTATCCAGCTTTTTCAGCTCGTTTTATTAATGTCTTATTTATTTCTCTTAAAATTAAAAATTACTTGTAACACCAAATACATAATAAACATATCAAACACATACTTATCTTTGTAAATGTATAATTGAAACCATTTAATAGTTTCAGGTGCAGCAAGTGCTACTTCTTCTATGCTACACGTAGATAATGTTGCAAGTATAAATATTGCTCCATGTTTTCCAGCAGCTGAAAGTAGTATTCTTATATATATATTATTCAATGTTTAATATTTTAGTAAAATAAAACAATCAAGAAAAAAATACCTTGAGCAGATGCACATTCTCCATCCTCATGGGCCATTTTATGCATAGAACATGGAGATATACCAATTGGAATTTTCACTTGATTACCTAAGATGGTTAAGTTGTAGTTACGGTTGCAAACATTACGTAACATATTAGGGATGATCCGTAACCTGTAGAAAAAATTTCCTTATCAATAGAAAAAATTATTATTAACCCATAATATTAAATATACCTACTAAACGCCTGTTCATTAAGTGAAAGTGTATATTCATCACAAGCTCCACTTTTATAGAAATCAAGAACTGTTTTTGATAATGTATTAGCTGCATAGTTTTCATAATCTTTTACACTTACAAGTTTTCCAAACATATTACTAAAAAATGTTGTTTGGGAATACCAAAATAAATATTAAATATTATTTGTTAATTAATAAATTATTAAATTTACAGTTAACTCTTTTAGATAATAACATTTATTAGTTTTTTACCTTTACTCGATCGGATCAATAGAAACAAAATATCATAGGTCAATAAGTGTATACTATGATAATAATATTTCTTTGATATTAATTTATCTATAAATAAATTTAATTGTTTATCGTTTATGGTAAGTTTTTCGATATAATTATTTTTATATTTTGTTTTGAAACTCTTATGTATATATAATTAGTCTGTTCATAGTTTAATTTTCACACTAAGTTTATAACCTTTAAATACAATAATATAACATACAAAATAAATATGCACTATCTTTAAATAATTTTCTAAAATGTTGATGTCAATTTAGTTGAGCAATATAAAGGACATAAATTTAAATGTATGTACAAATTATTTTATAATGATAATAACAATAGTAAATTAAAACTACTGACTACACAGAATATAAANATTATTTTATAATGATAATAACAATAGTAAATTAAAACTACCGACTACACAGAATATAAACAAATTACTTGAATTTTACAATTTTGTTTTCAATTAATTCTATTCCAATTAAGAAAACAAGACAAAAACATTATACAAACTAATTTGTAATATATAAAAATATAATATTATTAGAAATGTATTATCAACGAATTGTTTTATATTAATTGATGAAAATTCTAAATAATTTTTAGATAATTGAAGGATATAAAAGAGGTAATTGTTTCGTATATTATAAGGCTTTGTTATAAAGCTAATTAAACTTAGAAGAAAGGAATCATCAATCTCATTTTTAATAGTTTTTCCAGAAATATAACAAAAGAATTCCTACCTTTAAAGTTTTTAAATTTAATACTTGAATTATATTCTTATAACTGGAATGAGCTTGTTTAGTAACATTACAAGAATATGATATACAGAGTTATTCATTTATTACAAACCACTTAATTAATCGAAAAATAAAAATAATAGAAAGAATTTTTGTTTTGGTTCCTTTTAGGTACATGTTTTTTTATTAAATGTGTTTTTAAGTATTTTTATGTTCATTAATTATANTTTTGATTTCTTTTAGGTACATGTTTTTTTTATTAAATGTGTTTTTAAGTATTTTTATGTTCATTAATTATACCTTATAAGGGTGTTAATTTTCTTTTTTCAAATGACAACATGCAAAATTTATTAACTCATTCAATAGATAATGATCTAATTAAGAAAATGACTGGTCGATAACAAATTTTTGACAACTATTTCAGTAATTTATTTATTTAAATTATTGACATTTTTCTATCTAGACAGTAGGAAGAGAATGGCCGGGAAATGATTAGTAATCAAAATAAAAACATTTACAACTCAAAAACAATATTTATTTTAAATTACTTGTTTTATATAATAAATATATAAGTTGTTATTGACCAGTCATTTTCTTAATTAGATCATTATTTATTAAATATACAAGTTAAATATGTATGTTTCCATTCGAAATAATAAAGTCACACCCTTATAAAGTTAAGGAATAAACATAAAAAATACTTCATAATTAATAAATTGAGAAAGACATGTACTGTTAAATTACTCAATCTTCTCATCTATAATGTTTTGTAAAT